GATCAATCGATATGTCAAGGACAAAATCTGATTGGTGCGTCACTGCGCCGATCTCGAATGCACGATTGGTCTATATGTTTTGCAATGCAATAACTTATCAAAGAATACACGCTGACTGTGGTCTCAACCTGTGTTCTCTCCGCGTTGTCGTTGGGGGTTAAGCAAGAGTCGCTCGTGTCATTCGTACGCTTAGACCAAACACAATAAACATGAATTAATAAATCGGTCTACAAGCTCAAATGTGAATGTTGAAATGATTCATTGTCCGAGTGGATTGATTCTAGTCCCTCAATGGGCTAGTGATCAAATTCCATCAATGCTGAAGTTCCCTCGAATAACAGCTTTTTGAGCCAAATGCAATTGCCCATGGCATGGGAAGACCTACACACAAGATTCATACAAGGATACGGTAGAGTGGCTAACAGTATTCCACCTAAATAGCAAGATCAGATTTGAGCTCATTCGCTAAGTAACAGAAAGTACGTTTTTCTTTGCAATTTCAAGAGTAATTATTGCATTCTATCCGCAATGTAAATAGTAACAACCTGACACATACAGCTTCTCCCTTTGTTGCTCAGCTTCATCGCATTTGTTCTTATCCTGGTTGCATAATTTCTCATCCTCGTCGCATCTGTTCATAGACCGATTACGCAATCCCTATAGTTAAATGAGCGAGACTGGTGGTGATAAGAATGACTCACATTCAGCCATGATCCCACGAATGACAATAACTTTGCACTGGGGGCTTTTGAGGGTATTAATTTTAAAAATGATATGGAGTACCAAGATGAACGCCCTCTGTGAGAACCGAATTCTATCAGCAGCGGATTGTGTGCTGTGAGTTTCAGGCGATCAGGACCAATGCGAAAGCAAACCGGAAAAAAAGTTTATTCCTGGAATTCGTGTAGACATCAGGGATTCGCGCTTTTCATAGTATAAAGCACAGATTTTTCCAGGTTCACCGATTAAATGACTTGATAACATGGAGCATTATTTCCCCTGTCAAATTTTATCGGTTGCCACAGAGTCGTTTCATAGATGCCAGCAACCGCATAGGGTCCGCACGAACGTCCGATCCTTGTTAGAAAAGATATAAGTCTTGGACTCTCGCATTCTCTCAAGTGATTCATTTTGTGTTCAAGAATATTGGTTTACCGCGGACATTGAGGACTGAGTTGGGCCCAGAGGGCATATTTGCTTCTGTCAAGACGGGGAAGAAGTTGTGAGACGACTGGAGGCTGTTTTGCTTTTTCCTTCAATTTTTTCTTGGTATTGTAACGATTAATGAACGGCAACCCATCCTAAGCCAACAGAAAAACCTTTTTATTTTATCTTGGTTCTTCGGCACATCGAGGAAGCTCGCAAGGAATTTTCTCAGCATTCACAATAATTTCTGATTGGTAGTCTATTAAGCACTGGAAAAATAAATAAGAAGACGAAAACAACAATATTCTTCATGGGATTTCATTTGAACTTACCGAAGTTGGACAATGGGATTTTTGAAGAGCTTCGTGGAGCGCACAATGCGAATTGTGCCCGGCTCACTGCAGTCGAGCATCAAAAGTACTCCTGACTGCAATCCCACGGCAACTACTGGTGAAATCGGCGAAACAGCAATAGAACAGCACTGAAAACAGGAAAAACACTTGTGTTTGATGCCCAATGGTGAATTGAAATGATACATCAAGTGAATGGTTGTTCACACGCCAAAGAGTTCATGTCCATTGAAAGGAGTTAGAGTAAAGATCATGCATATTCAAAATACTAGCAATTTTCTGATGTCAATGTTATGAAATATTCAGTAGACAGAATTATTGTGAACGAAAAAACTCACTCTTTCTCCTATGGATAACGAACCAATAAGGTCACCAGAATGAACAGACCAGACATTTAGTACTCCATTACTTCTTGCTGTCTAAGTTGGATAGAGCAACAGTAGAAATTCAGTGAAAAGAAGGAGAAATTAATAAAAAACAGTTGTATAAATGTGAAATGAATTTAATGAGATAAAACTAATAAACAACAGTTATTGATAGAGGCAATCAGAGAATGACAAATGTGTTTACTTCAAGCTTTCTAGAAAAAAGACGTTCTTGTGTTAATAGAATTTCCCTTCCGGAGTTGCATATAAGCTGTTCCCAGTTATGCTATAATTGGTTCATTTTATTCAATTTCGCAGCTACCAACCTGCTTCTTCATTGTTTTTCGTTGAGTTTTCTCGAGATAAACAACAACAAACTAGATAAAATAAAAGGTTCAATAAATATATTAAATAAGTTTTGGTGATCTTCAAAGGAACTGGCAATAAGCAGCCTCGGTTTGAGTCAAAGGTTTGTATCACCCGTCAGGCACATCATCAAATACCTTCTTGGGCTTCTGGTAGTCAAAATAGCTCCATTTAACGGGAAAGTGTGGCATAACTCCCACTACCTTAATGAATTAGTTACTTGAAAAGATGACGCTTGCATTAATTTGATATGTTATTCGAACTTTTCATCAATGCCATTCACCGTTTTTAAGAATATCTTGAGTACTAGGAGCACAGCTGGAGAGACAAAAGTTACAGTTTATACATCATTGTGAAAATTAACTTACTGCGACGAATCGATTCTTCTCGGGACCCAGAAGACCCAATCCAACAAACGAATCACCTGAGGTGGTAAACTGGAACACTGCATGTAATGAATCACTTTCGGTGTGTTTGTAGTTTGCCAAATCGAGGATAGCGAATTGACCTGTGAGTGAACTGATAGCCATCAGTCCATAGGATGGAGACATGACCAAACCAGTGACACGCAACGTGCACACGCTGTCATTCGAATCGAATGGATTGGTAAAAGTGAATAGCTTGTGACAAGCACTTAGTTGTGTACGGTACAGCATGGGGTTTACATGCAGTGGTTGAGCGGTACTGTTTTCCGCTTCTTGGTTTGGAGGGGGTTTTCCCGCTTTTGCAATATTTATGGTAAGCAGTCGTAAAATTCCATCTTTACCGGCGCATAGAATACCATGCTTGGTATAGACCAAGTGCGCAAAGCAACCAAATGGTATGGCCAATGAATCGTGTGATTTCTCCACCGGATGTGAGATAGTTTCCGTGGATTTTAAATTTGAGCTAATTGAATGGAATGTGTAGGATGCAGACCCCTCTAACCGTGAATCCACCGATTCCGAGGCTAGAAAAATTTGGATTAAGAGGGTTGGACAGAGGGAGAAACAAAGTGTCTATGATCACAACTTAAATTTACACCGAGAACAACCAAACCATTAGGCTGTGCAAAGAGCAAATACCTTTTGAATATGCCTGATAAGACAATGGATTTATCAGCACTTTTATCATTGATGAAAGAGGGTCCACCTATGCAGAAAAAAGTTAAGCTTAAGCTTAGAAAAGTTACAAACCAGAAGTAGTTCTCCGTATCGACAACCGATAAACAGCAGTTCATTAGTGAACCAAGTTTGGGATATACAGATCACACGTTCAACTTCATCAATATAGTCAGCAAATTCCATCTGCTTCTCGTCAGGCACACCTAAATAGTCGAATTGAATACAGACTAAAGTTATAACAATTCTCACCGGATATGGCGGTTTCGGGCAAACCTGGGTCAAAACGAGTGATTTCAGTTGTTTTCTTGGTTGCTTGATTTGCCGATAGATCTCCATTGTGCAAACCCACAGGAACCGCTTGATCAGGCAAATAAATTGATCTGTATGATAGACAAAGCACGGTTTAGTACAGACATGAATAAGAAAGGCCCGATAACTGAAAACCATTGAACAAATTGCAATATGCCAATAATATCGAGGGACATTACAATAGTACGAAGCTAGCTCACTAGATCTGTATACAGAACACTATTCTTTTGTGAATTTGAGGCGAATACCAGCATTACTTGGAGTATTCAAATGCGATGGAACTGTTTGTGATAACCAACAAAGAGCACTGGGCAGCTGTTTCTTCCTGTGTGGGACTCGTCAGCAGTGCGCACTTTTTTGTCCTTGTTAGGACTCGAACCGTAAACATTTGGGTCGGGACTTCAAACCCTTACATGGCCGACGGTCATCACCTTGTACGAATGACTCAATCAATTTACAGTATCAAGCTTAGATTAGCCCATTCGATTGTTCAGAGGCACCAGGCACTCTTGATGGTCTTGGGTGTGGCTTTCACTCCTGGGGAGATGGTTAATTCCCCGCGGGGTAATGCGTTCAAATGTGTACAGTAGTTTAAAAATTCTCATTCGGTATCAACAAGCCTAGAAAAGATACCATTATGGAACACACAAAGGTACAGCATGGTCTGATAAGCATGCCATGTTGATCATCCCTAAAAAGGATGTAATCAATCCTCATGGAAGTTTACGAAGCAAAAACATCAAGACAGAAACCTGAAGATTTATGGGTTTAGAAAAGTCATGGTCGAAGTGGCACTGATGATGTCACCTCGGCTGGTGATGAAACGCTTGCAAACAAATTGCCAAGCTCGGCGAACAGACGAAATGGAACTCAGTTCACTCGAGCTACGAGAACCAATTTTCAATACTTTGTCAGGAGTTGCCTAATCTTATTCGGATTGGTCCTCTGTCTCACTCAAGTGCGCTTTGATGTTATTTCACTTGTCGCCTGTTCGTTTGACGGAGTGGTGAACTCCCTCGTTTGCATATTGGTTCTCGATTGACATTGTTTATTTCGTCGGTTCAGACATACCCCCTGGGAACGCCACGATTTGAGATGTGTTATTTATGTAATTGTGACGCTTAATATTTACAGTACCGCATACTTATTCGCTATTGTTGGAACCGAATGAACGTCTAGAACACTTGAACTTGGCTTTTGAGGTTGCGCGTCACTCAACGTTGGTCTGGATAGTCATTTGGATTTACCAGATATTATCTACCCTTGGAGATGAGTTCGTTTTTAAACACGGCAGTTTGGATGTAACGATTTTGGGGGGGGGGGAAATCAATTGTGGTGAGCATTGGATGTGATGTATCCTCAAGTAACAGAGGCAGTCGTAGTCCGGTGTTCGCAGGTGCGGTGAACACTTGAGCGTACTGACGTTTTAGCATGTCAGCTGCCTCCTTTGTTGTGGCTGAAACACGTTCTGCTACCCTGAGCTCTGGAACACCAGACTTAACTTTTCTGGTGGCATTTACGTGTTTGTACAACAGCTTGGGATTTGAAATGAACATGCGCATGAGCGTTTCTTGATGTTTTAACTTGTCTTCTTGCGCCAACTTGGTGCAGTGGTTCCGAGATTGACGGTAGATATACCGTCTGTTGTTGCAAGGAGATCGTTTATAAGCTCTCCATGAGATATTCCTTTGCGAAATCCACCTTTTTGTCCGACTTCGAATCTTTGACCAGTTGCGTAGGTGATGCGTTTGGTCTTCGTCTCGCCTTTCACCATTTCCGTCAAGTGATTTGTAAATTCTTCCCAGGATACCAGGGGATCACACAGTTCGTTGAGAAATTTCCATTGGAAATCTCTCGCCAAAAGTTTAATTTTAGTGTAGTCAACAAACATACAGGAGCTAACCGTAGAATTGTGCGGTA